TAAGATTTTTACTTCAGATTTTTTCATGCCATCATGATATCTCGTTTGATCGTGCATTCCGACCAAAAGACTATTCTCTCTTTCAGCTTAATACAAACGTCTATTCCTGTTTATCATAACTGATTTTTGTACAGTCAGTCATATCTCTTGTCTATGTATCTCAACGATTTACTCATCTGAAATGTGCAGCTTGTTGGCTCCACTTATCATATCCGTGACAAACTGTGCTGTGCTCTAAACATCAGGCTCATACAGAGATACGTGCTGTTTTTCGTTATTCCTTTACATCATTTTTTCTGTTTGAAAGGAATACAGATTTTTCGCGCACAACATTTTGCCATCTTTCATTGCGTACAAATGAAACGAATCCGAGGCCTAATCAATTTTTGATTTAACCTAGGCGAATCCGCAATTATCGATCTCATTAACGAAGTGAAACGTGTATTACCAATTGACGTAGTCACGGGTAGAAATTGAATTCTGTCACCCACGCGGAACACGAAGTAATACACGCCGCCGATAAGTCTCAACAATGAAATAGCTTTTCAATGCTCTTTGTTGATCGTTACACACAACTTTACGATTAATATGAATTCTTGTTTAGGTTATGGTAACATAAAAGGGCACATGGAAGATTGGATGTGCATTCGTATATCATCTCAGTTCCCTGAGTTCATTTCATTACCAGTTGCTGATTAGCAAAGTGGACGTCGTTCCTTGAGAAAAACAGTAGCTACCTATGTGATTATTCTCTTAAGGATGTAGTTTGTCAAACTGTCTCTCGTCGAACGGTATGACGACATGGTTACACTGCTGGAGTTTTTCCATCACATCATTTTTCAGCCACTGTTGTGTTAGTGTATACTTATCGGTACATTTCACCCGGTGTCTAGCCGTTGACGAAAGTGATCGCGGGGACCCCAGTCAGGAAGTCAAATGCGGCCCGCAAATATCATATACTGAGTCTCCTTCTATTTGGGTTCAATTTAATGCAGCATCCGCGCCATCCCTCCGTCCTTTTTGAGTCGATTTCAAAGCAGGTCACTCTACTCCAAATTTTGAGCCGCGGTCAAGGTCAGAAAAGTTTAAAGGAGCTCCCATGCAGCAGTTCCCACAGATGAAGAATCTGGAGGTTCTTATGATCCAAGGTTTCAAACCTTCAGATCAGTGTTCCAAGGGTCTCAATCAGGCTAGGGGCAGCTGTTGAGGCAGTGTCACAGTGACACAATGAAGGCCTTAGGTTTTCGTCCCACTGTAAAAGTCGATTGTTCGCCCACACATGGAATATTGTGTGCGGGCACCGTATTACAGGAGGGATGTAACATGTTCAGAAAGAGTGTAACATCTAGCTACCCGAATGGTTACTGGGTAAAAGGGAAAGAGCTATGAACAGCGGTCAAGAAATCTTAATCTCTTTTCCCTGGGGCATAGATGAGTGAGGGGAGACCTGTTGGAGACTTAAAATTTTAAGAGATCTATCGGGGCTCAACCTTGATGACTTGTTTACGGTTTCTCGTGTTCAAAACACGGGAGGCCATGGCTATAAACTTCAACAGAACCACGCCAGGTTGGAAGTACGGGCCAACTTCTTCGCACACAGGGTTATGACTATGTGGAACAGGTTACCCGCAGAAATGGTCAACTGCGCCAAGGTTAACGCCTTCAAGGTAGCCTTGGACGCATGTTGGTCAGCAACGTTCCCCGAAGTTAGTATTTAAAGTGAAAACATCAAGGATAAATTCCACTTTAGCCGAAATTTTTCGAATTTGAGTGAACCCGGGCTGGAATGTTGGAGTTTTTCCCAAACTAACTGTCTTGTTACATGTGATCTGTGTATAAGAACGCATGTTTACTTGAGACCTCTAACCAATGAGGCGGGAAGATATCTTTGCTTGTTTCCCTCCCTTTAAGCATAACCCAAGGAAACAACGTTCTGGAAATGGGTCTAAAGTGAGAGGACCACAAATACGAAATCAACTTTACGCAGTGTTGAAAGCTTCTCCAATTCACCAAAAATACAACAAACTGGACGGTCTATTGGCAAGAGCCATATTCGTCCTGTGCACACTGAACTGAACTGTACAGTTGATTTGGGATTTGTGATCCTCTCAATTTATAATAATAATAATCATATTAATTGTAATGATGTATATCTCAAGAAGCCCGTGAAGTATGCACATAGCCTGATCATCTGTTCATAATAGTGATATTTACATTGAAAGTGCAGGTATATAGAAGGTCTAAGTAGAAGATATTCATAATGAAGATGGTGGGGAAGCAGAAACGAAAACGTAGTGCAAACGGATCACAAAGCGGACAGAGTCACAAACGTGCATATGAAGGATGGAGGAGTGCACTAATCAGGCATGTCAACGGAAATTGAAGTAATAGCAAACCTTGTATCGAGAAGATTTGAGGTACGTATTAATGGGAGGAAAAACAGAGAGACGGTCTGCGAAACATAGGTCGCGAGAGGCTGGAGACACGCAGAAAAGAATGAATAGGAGGAAAGGGTACAGCGAATTCATACATTTGTCAAATTAAATGTTTCTCTGTATGCTGCAACACTGTTCCCTTCTAAGGACACATTCATTGGGTTCGGGGCTTCGATCGGTCATGGAATGATTTAGCTTATTTAGGCGTTGGTCGCCTTGATGTGGGACTGACTACATGCTAGACACCCAACCATAAAACACCTTGTACGTGAGGCAGGGGGTGTAATCTTCAACCTGGTCCGGAATGCGGACGCATGTAGTCAAAATGATGGAGACAGCCGTGCCCGAAAACCATTGCCGGAGCCAAATTGTTCATTATGTAAACCCCAAGCCTTCAACAGGTCAGAGCCAACCGAAGCTGGGACAAAAAGGCGAGACTCAGTATTCTGGGGGTAATACCCAGCTCATAGAGGGTGAGGGAAAACAGAGCACGTCACGAAACAATATGCAGAGTGGAATACTGCAACAAAGTATATATACATACATACTTATGTATACTTAAATATGAAAGACCAAGGCGCAGCGCAAAACAATTAAGAAGGAATGCAAATGCCATTGACGATCTCGAAGCTTTCAACGTTCGATGACGGATTCCTGGGCGACTTATACTGAAAATTGTACTCTTTTAGCATTTGGCACCATCAAGCCAACTGACCGTTTGCATCCTTGAAGTTCTGCAGCCAAATGAAGGCTTGATGGTCTGCTTGCACTACAAATTCCTTCTGGAGCAGGTAATAGCGAAATTGACAAACAGATGGGAGGTCACGAAATTGGCTCATCAAATTCTCGAACTGTGTCTCGATCTAAAGATTGATTATCGATTATCGTTAAAATGCGGCGTGCAAAACTTGGGTCCGGGAGACAATGCCTCGATTTGTAACTTACTGAGTTCAGCGGATGAATAGTTGTGCACGTACATATCTGGGTTCTTCAGAATATTTTACGATTTGAAAAAAGCGATTAACCTAAAGCGTTAAAGGATCTCACCAAATACTTGAAGGTCAACGTCAGGTTTGCAGAAGAGAAGGCTACCGTGAAGTTAATCAGTGAGTATGTGCAAAACGATCGTTATCCGAAAACCTACTGGACAGCGTTGCGTAGGACGCATGTCAAACCAAACACCCGATCACTCAGACGTAACGCATTTAACCAACTGGACACAGCTCATTCTAACCTTGCCGAAATTGGATGGATAATCTTGAGATACAAGATCGCAGTTGAGGACTTGCAGAAATGCTATCGAAGGAGGTTTGAGAACTACATTAGTTCCGTCCAGTCCAAGGCCGTGGGGAAGAAAAAAGTAAAGTTTGTGAACAGTCTGGAATTCAAAGCACCCCCCGTCCAAATTTCCGGAGATCCTAGATATGTACATATACAATTATTCACCCGTTGAACTCAGTAAGTTAAAAATCGAGGCATTGTCTCCCGGACCCAAGTTTGCACGCCGCAGTTTTACGATAATCGAGTAGAGATCGAGACACAGTTTCAGTATTTGATGAGCCAATTTCGTGACCTCACATCTGTACCAGAGATTAGTGTAGAAAACCTAAAATCGTCAATGCTTCATTATTGCCAGCAGTATCAAGAAACGAAAATCCAAGAAAAGGGTTATTAACGAGGCAGCATAGTAACACAACTAAAGAATTGACCACAAATCGGAATGTTGTTCTTTCAAGACCAGATAAAGATGCAGGATGGGTGGTGTTGGACCGATCTGAATATGACGATAAGCTGAAGACTATACTTGTCGATGATAGCAAACTCAGATTCAAAAAAAAGGATAAGACGCATGAATCAGAAGGAAAACTAACGGAGATATTGAAGCAACTTAGGGCTGAAAATTTTATCTGCAAGGCAACATTTGACAAACTTATTCCATGTGGACCTCAACCACCGAGACTTTATGGATTGCCGAAAATTCACAAGCCAAATATGCCACTAAGATCAGTGATTGACATGAGCAAATCAGCCTACCACGCCATAGCACAGTGGATTGTACAAATTCTAGAGCCTGTGCACAAATCTCTAGCCAGATATAGCATAAAAGATTCTTTCGCATTCATTGATCGTATCACGAATGAAGACGTGTCACACAAGACCATGCTCTCCCTTGATGTCGAATCCTTGTTCACAAATGTCCCACTACTGGAGACGGTAGACTATATTTGTCAATACATCATTGCAAATAATATCCAGATCGAAATTCCCGTGACAAAACTTAAAGAACTCATACTGAGATGTACATGGAACGTACAGTTTTTGTACAATCAAAAGTACTATCGACAGAAGGATGGTGTAGCAATGGGATCACCGCTTGGCCCACTGCTGGAAGATAAATGTTTAGCCAAGCTCGAGGACGGACCTTCGATGAGAACAATTGGCAGTCTAGACCTA